ATGAGAGAGAGAGAAACATTATGTAAGAGAGACACATTGATTGGTTGCCCGGAACCCTTTGGTGTGCAGGCTGACACTCTAACCACTGAGTGATGCTGGGCACGGTGGAAACAACAGATCTTAAATCAAGTTCTTTTATTTTTATTTTTTAAAATATATTTTATTGATTTTTTTTACAGAGAGGAATAGAGAGGGATAGAGTTAGAAACATCGATGAGAGAGAATCATCGATCAGCTGCCTCTTGCACATCTCCCAATGTGCCTGCAACCAAGGTACATGTCCTTTGACTGGAATCGAACCTGGGTCCTTTCAGTCCCCAGGCTGATGTTCTTATCCACTGAGCCAAACCGGTTTCGGCAAGTTCTTTTATTTTTTAAAATGGAAAGTATTTGAAAAGTAAGAAGGCAGTAGTATAAAGGATGCAAGATCCAAACTATAGATGAAAATGTCTCAGCAGAAAAAATGACTTGTCTAAAGCTGGTTACTTCCAGACCCCAACAGACCTCACAAAAGACAGCTTTTTACCCAGGAGGCATGGGTAGACAGACTAGGGGTGGCCCAGTGAAGCCTGCAAGATGGGGCCCTTCCTTCTCCAGGATTCTCAAGAGCACAGCCCTCTATGCTTCTGGGCTTCTAGTTGGGGAACCCAGATGTAAGATTTGGGGTAAGGGGTGAGGAACCAACGAAGCCGCCGCTGTGCGGACAGCGGGCCTGAGATGACTCTTCGTGGAATCCACCCTCCTGGCCTGTGAAATCTGTGTCCCCTCCAACTATGGTAACACTCCAGCCAACCCGATTCTTCGCGCCAGAGCTGAAGATGTCCGCCAGAGGGCGCCCTTGCGCCGTCGGTCGAAGGTCCGAAAGCTGCGATTCCCTGGCTGTCGGTTTCCCCGGATGGCTACCTAGCATCTTCCGTGGATGGGTGCCCACCACCCTCCAAATCCCTACTAGGTTTGATATTTCCAGCCTCAGCTCCTTTGTCCTCCCGGCTCCGCTTCCACGGTCAACGCGCCCGCCTCGACGCCCTCCAGCCCTCTGGTCCCCCTCCCGCGCACTGGGGCCTGGGAAATTGCGCACCTCGCACCTGCTCCGGGGGCTGCCTCCCTTCCCGTGCAGCGCAGGCTGCCTCCCGCACCCCTTCCCGCATGACCCGGTCTCCCCCAAGTCCTCTGTGACCAAGGAGAGTAGCTACCCTCATCCCCCAGCGAGGATGTAGCCTCCCCTTCACCCTGCACACAGAGTCTGAGGGAGCGCGCCTCCTCCTTCCAGGGACCCCCTCCCCCTTCTTCCCCCAGGATGGCCACTGACAACTGTCTCAAGTGGTGCCCTGGCCTCAGGAGCCCCCTTGTCACCACCACCCTCTCGGGCCCTCCCGTGTCCTGGCCACCCCCTGTTCCTTGGGGCAGAGGGAAGCCCTACCCCGACGCTCCTGCTCTTGCATAGGCGGCTGAGGATTCCTCTGTTTTCTGAGGTGCAAGGCCTCTGGGGGCTGACGCCTCCTCCTCCGCTGCGTTCTTCATTCCCCGCCCAACTGATTACTTCTCTGGCCAGGCCACAGGGTTCCTGGATCCCCACCCCCTCCCAATCCTGCCAGAGCAGGCTGTGGCTGGCCAGGGGGGGGCGGGGGGGGGCGGAGGGGAGGACGGGCGGAGATCAGCCTCCCAGGTCACGCTGGCCACTGGAACATCGCAGCTCTCCCTCTGGGCCCAAGCTTGGGCCGCCTTCATTCCAGCATGTTCACTCTCCCTGAGCTTGGATTTTTTAAAAAATATATATTTTATTGATTTTTTACAGAGAGGAAGGGAGAGAGATAGAGAGCTAGAAACGTCGATGAGAGAGAAACATCCATCGAAACATCGACCAGCTGCCTCTTGCACACCCCCTACTGGGGATGTGCCCACAGCCCAGGTACATGCCCTTGACCGGAATCGAACCTGGGACCCCTCAGTCCGCAGACTGACTCTCTACCACTGAGCCAAACCGGTTTCAGCCCGAGCTTGCATTTTTAAGCCTTTTAACCCTAAAAGGATGATTTGGTCTACATGTAAAGGGATTTCAGGAAGTGTGCTCATGATATCATTTTTCTTTAGTCTCTGTAAGGTTCCTTGCTTCATTCCCTTTCATCTGAATACTCCATTCCCCTCTGCCTGCCCCCTAGAGCTAGCCATTCAACTGTTCCTTTTGTTTCCACGTGTTCTTGCCACCTCTTGCCACCTCCTGTGGGTTTTGCTGGCCTGCGTTTGAAATTTGCATTCAAAGAATTGTATTATTTCTCATTCAGTTTTTCACTCAAAGCTAGGAGTTCAAGATCAATCTCACAGCTCCTGCCCCTTCTACCTGCTGCCTCCTCTCAGCGGTGCTCACACTATGCTTCACCGCCAATAACAGTGCAACCATTACTCTCAAACACATCCTCCTCTTTGCAGCGCAGTTTCTCAAACAGTGTATCACCTGGGAATCTTGTTGAAATGCAGGCTCTGAAATAAGAGGAAAAAAATGCAGGCTCTGATTCCACAGGCCTGGAGTGGGGCCCCAAACTCTGCACGTTCAACCAGCTCCCAGGTGGTCCTGGGGCCACACCCTGAGCAAGGCCCTCAGGGGCCTCTGTGAGAACTCATGCTAGGTTGCTGGGTCACAGGGCATGTGTGGATCTAATTTGGTAAGTACTACCCATCTGCTACCCGGGCTGGTTGTACCACCTTACTCCACATTAGCAGAGCAGGAGAGTGGGAGATTATATATATATATATATATATATATATATATATATATATATCTCCTGTTTCCCCAAAAATAAGACAGTGTCTTATATTAATTTTTGCTCCCAAAGATGTGCTAGGTCTTATTTTCAGGGGATGTCTTATTTTTTCCATGAAGAAGAATACGGTACACATTTATTGTTAAATGAAAATAAAGGAAATTTATTGCCTGTATACGGTACTGTAGTACAGTAGTTGTCAACACAAACCAGACAAACTGAATCCTACAGTATCAAGAATTTACTCATTTATTCAATGACCATCATGTCATCATCTTCTGGAACATCATCATAACAATCCAATTCCTGAATTTCCTGGTGAATTTCTTGTGACTCCATTTCTTTCAGAACCAGTGGACTAAATCTCTCATGTTTAGCCTGGGGGGGGGGCTTATTTTCAGGGGGGGATGCCTTATATTTCACTCAGAAGGAAACCTGTAAGTAGGTCTTATTTTTGGAGGATGTCTTATTTTCGGGGAAACGCGGTGTGTGTGTGTGTGTGTATATATATATACACACACACACACACACACACACACGCACACACAGAAAGAGAGAATGGGGCAAAAATAGGTTTACAGTGTGAGTATGTGAAACACTGAGTTTATTCTTGAATTATTTATTAATTATTGTATTTTCCTTAAGAACAACTGTAAACCTACTTTTGCCCCTCCCTGTATTTATGTGGGAAAGGAAGGAGGCCTTCTCCTTGCTTCTGCCCGCATCTTGTCCCGCAATGTGGGCCCAAACCTCTATTCTCCCTTAACTGGAATGGGCTCAAGGCTCCGGAGTGACAGTGCCGACCAGCAATGCTGGGCTAAGTCTATGGGGGACCTGAGGAGACTTCAATTGGGTTGTGTTTTCTCTATTGCTCTCCTTTTAGTGTCCTGTTAAGTAGATGAGGACTCAAACCTGGCCTTCCCATAGGCGAGTAGCTGTTTTGAACCTGATTTCTCATCTCTAAAATGGAATAGTGGTAGCATAGCTATGGTTCGCAGAGTGAGGCGGCAGGCTAGGAACTTCACCCGCATGCCAGCAGCCCCGTAGGAGCCCTAAGACAGGGGTTCTTACCTCATTTTACCCATGAGGAAAATGAAGTTCAGGAAGGCTTAGGAATTCCCACAAGGCCATGGCCATAGAAAGTGACAATGTTGGGATTCAAACCCAGCCTCAGCTAATGCTCCAGAGCCCCTGCTGGCCACGAGGCTATTCCAGCACCATGTCCTGCCTTGCCCTTGCTACCAGGCCATGTTTCAGGGACAATCACAAGGAAATGGGGTTTCAGGCATGGATGCTGAAGGCTTCTGACCAGTGGCATGGAGGGTTATGAAATTCTACAACAAGTGCATTTTGGCAAAAATGAGCTTGGGTTCTAGGGGCTGGTCCTCAGGGCTTGAGTATTTAGGTGGCAGGAGAGGGGGACTTCGGGTCGAGGGCTTTAGGAGCAGGGTTTTTAGGCTTAGAAGTACACTAGGTCAGGGATGGGCAGGATTTGGGAAGGTCAGGAATTGGGTGGGAGTTAGAAGTGGGGTAGGAAAAAAAACATTAACCATGATTTCATAAAAAAAAGAAAAAGAAAAAAAAAAGAAGTGGGGTAGGGATCAGGTGGTGGGGTCTTAGCTGTGGGTAAAGCTGTCTATCATGTGCTTTATCCCATATAATAAAAGTGTAATATGCAAATCAACCGAACAGCAGAATGGCCAGTTGGCAGGGGGCGGGACCAGCGAGCAGGTGGTGTCAAGCTAGCTAAGGTGAGTGCCAGGAGGCAGATGGAGGGAAAGGCAATGCAGGGTGGAAGGTGGGGCAGCACCATCTCCTGATTAGCTGGCCTGGTTGCCTTCCACAGAGGGAGGCCAGATTGTGGCTTAGGTGGGCAGCAGGCCTAAGCCATCAGTAGGACATCCCTTGAAGACTCTTGGGCTGTGAGAGGGCACAAACTGGGCTGAGGGACCCCCCGCCCCCGGTGCACAAATTTTTGTGCACTGAGCCTCTAGTTTGGTAATGGTTGATCACTCACTGTTTTGTTTGGAGGGTTGGCAGATGTGCAAACAGCCAGCACCCAGGGCCTCGGGAATGCCACCTTTCATGACCCTCTTGGTGTAGGGAGCAGCTGGGTCCATTTTGGAAACCATGGACTCTGCTTTTCCCACTCACAGAGCTGTGCAAGCATCTCCTGGCACTAAGCCCCAGGCCCAAGCATTTCACAATCAGAAGAGTTCGACATCTGCAGATTTTGAGATTTCATGACACATGACATTTTTACATCTTGTCCACACCCATCCCATCCTCTGTTTACCACTGTGATTCTGCTCACGGCAGAACATTTTTGCCTCAGGCCTAGGGAAGCTTCTTGCTCTTTCTATGGCCGTGGGGCTCCAAAGACCTTTTGAGTCTACAGAACGTTCTCAAGAGTTCAATATAGTATCTTATTGTTTCCTGGACTTTACAAAGTACTTCATACATCGGTGTTGCTTTTGGCGCACTTAGCACAAGCTCAAAGAGAATTAACTGGCCAAGGCCACATGTGTAGGCGGGTGGAATGGGACTTGTTTGTTATTCCAGAACAGACCTCAGGAGACGTAAAGAGTGGGTACTCTCTGGGAATCTCACTACCCTATTCAGCCCATTTTCCAGACCCGGGGGTGTGGACTGAGGCAGGCTCTAAGCAGGGGAATGTCTGGCCAGGGAGGTCTGGGAGGTGAGTTAGTTGGAGTCTCCTGGGGCGTGTGGCCAGCCCCCTTCTAGCTAGGCTCCCGCCAGTGGGCCCTTTCTAGAGCAAGTGGAAAAAGAGCGTTGGTGGGAGGCATGGCGAGTCCAGGGGTACCCAGGTGGAAGCTCTCAGTGAGTCTGAAGCTGAGACAGCTGCAAGAAAAAGATGTTGCCAGTTGCTAAGAGGGCCCCAGAGGTGTCACCACAACCACATGGGAGCTCTTAGTGGCTTGGCCAAGCTAAGCCTCCTGCCCTATCCCCTTCTCCTCATAGCCCCTGGCCCCCCACACCAAGTACCTGCAGCAGCAGCAGCTTGCGGGAGGTGCCCAGGGTCAGGCCAGTCTACCTTGCCAGCTCCAGCAGCCTCACCCATGCCACCACCTGTGCTAGGGCCTGGACGTCTGGGCCGGTTGAAGCAGGAAGGCCCTGGTCTCCCTGCCCTCCCTCTCCCTCGGGGCCTCGGGCCTCGGGCCTCGGGCCAGGGCTAACACACACAGGCAGCGGGATGGGTTGCCCTTCTATTGGTCCTGCGCGTAGCCTGGGTGAGACATGGAGGTGAGGAGGCCCACGAGGCTCAGCAGCGTGGAGAACAGCAGCAGGAAGGAGGCGGTGAAGAGCAGGGCCGGGAGGGCGCTGAGCACCAGCAGCAGGATGGCTGGCAGCAGATGGCGCCACGCCGCGGCCGCCACGGGCCACAGGGAGCTCAGCAGGTGGGAGCCGGTCGTGAAGAGCGCGTGGCACAGCATCAGCGCCAGCAGCAGGTAGAGGACCCCCTCCAGGTTCCACAGCATGCGCTGCAGCGGCTGCCGCCAGCTGGACGTGGCCCACCAGTGGGTCCAGCTCTGGGGCACGTGGCACAGGCACCAGCGCACCCAGTCCTGCCGCGTGACCCAGGCCGTCCAGGGCAGCGCCCGCTGCGGCCCCTCGCCGGCCCCGATGGCATCCGTCTGCACTCGAGGCTGTTGCATCACAGGTGGTGCACCTGGGGAGAGGCTAGGCCAGCTGCAGGAGCAGCCCCCGGAGGTGCCGGGGGTGCAGGGGTCAGGAGGGCACCTGTGTGGATGAGGCGGGGCTTTGAGCTGGGGTCTGGGTCTCACCTCTGGGCAGAGATTCCCTCCCTAAGTCATGTTGCTTCCTGCGGCGCCCACGATGGCCTGGCAGCCAGAGTTGAGCCCCTCTTTCACTCTCCCTCCCCCTCCCTAGAGGAGCCCCATTGTGACCCGGGTTGGGGTGGGGTCCAGCCAAGAGAGGAGCCTCTCTCTGTGGACCCTCTAGGCCAGCGGGGAGGTCTGGGAGCCCACGGATGTAGCTCCTCGTGCTTTCTCGTGGAAAGCCCTCTTGGGTCGCTGCCCCTTCCCCACTGGCTAATCATGAGTCCCACTCTGCTTCCCTGCAAGTCTTTCTCTGGGCCTTCATTCTTTAGAACCCCAGGGGAGGCCAGAACGGCCAGCCTCGACCTGTAGGTTCGGAGATGGCCGTCACATCCTGTCCTGGGCTCGCTGTCTCTTCCTCATCTCACCTTCTACCATTGCCGGAGGTCTGCTGCTGCTCAGGCTGGGGACGAACCTGTGCCCTCCCACCGGCCCCGCCCCGGACGGAGGACAGGAGGCCTGGGGAAGCGGCACGGCCAGTGTATTTCCGGAGGGCAGTCAGGCCCAAGGATAGAGGCAGAGAGCCAGGCCGAGCAGGGCCAGGGGCATGCCTCGGGCTCCCAAGAGCAGCTCCAGGCCCAGGAGCAGGAGAAGCAGAGCCTCCTGGAGGCTGAGTCGTCCTGTGACTGCCACTGTACGCAGGAGCAGCGCCTCCTGCTGTCGTGGGCCCTCGCCGGCCCCTCGGCTTTGGCCCCCTGCGAGGTGTGTGTGCGGTGGCCGGGCAGGGCCCGTGGGCCTGCGGAGAGAGAGGGCAGCAGCCGCGATTCGGGAGGCTGACCACCTGCACCTGCCCACCTGCCGGGCTGCTGCCCGTTTACCTGTGGAGCAGGTCGAAGGCCAGGAAGCTGACCAGCAACAGCAGCAGCAGGAGGGCGGGGCCAGCCATGGAAAAGACTGCCCGGATTGTCAAACCCAGCGCTCCCAGCCCGAGGATACTGTCCAGGAGCTGGGCCGGGCTAGGGCCCCAGACAAACACTCATGGACCCATTGAACTACCCAATCCCTCCCCAGCACCCAGGCCCCTGGGAGGAGGGACAGGGATAGGATAAGCAAGGACTTCAGGCCTGGGTAACAGAGCTGGGTCATGGAGGGTAGCGGGGGTAGTAACGGGGGCGTGTGGGAGTGTGGGAGGGGATGGCAGACAGGCACCCAAGGATGAGCTCAGGGAGTGGGGAATTGGGCACCTTGGGAATCTCCCCCTCCCCACCCACCCACTCACCCGCCCACCCAGGCCTCCTCACCTCCTGCCACTTGGCTCTGCCATTCTGGGACTGGGCCGCTGGGGCATTGTGAGCTATTGCCAGGCGGGGCTCCGTGGGAGGGAGGGGCCGCTGCTGGCTCTGGCCTCACAAGCAGCCATTGGCTCGGGTGGGGCTCAGCCAGAGGTCAGTTCTTTCTGAGAACGGCTACTCTCCTCTTGCCTCTGCTAATTCCCTGCCCTAGGGGGCCCGCCCATGGGATTGAGTCCCCAAGAGGCATTCTAAGCCCTCACTACATGGGTGGCTGATCAAAGGAGAGGGGCTGCTTTCTTTCTCCTGCAGGTGCTCGGAGCTGTGTCCAGGGACACGTCCTTCCATCTTCCTGCCCACTGCTCGCTCCCCTGAGAGCAGGGTGATGCCTGTGGGCCCTGGCGGGGGATTTTTCAGGACTGCAGCCCTGGAATGGAGAGCCTCTGGCAGGAAGGAACCAGAGGCTTCCCAAGGCTGGGCTCCCCTGTGACCTGCCCTTTGGCCTGGGGAGCAGATGGAAGGCCTACTTCCCTGGTAGCCTACAGGGTCCTCTCCGGGGCAAGAGGCAGCGGTCTAAGCATTTAAGTGCTATGGTGTGTAGGTGTCCGGGACACTGGGATTCCAGAAATGGCACTGAGGGCTACAACCTAGGAACCCCCAAACTGGAGTTTAGAGTCACTCCCTGAGATTGAAATGAAGGAAAATGGACACGTAATAAGGAGATTGGTCACGTAGGAAAGAAACCCACCCCTATTGATGATGTGTCACTGCGCGATGGTTCCAACACATCCCCGTTTGGTGGCCTGAGAGGCAAGAATGGGAATAGGTTGTAATGGAAAGAACTCAATCTTTGTCCACATGGCATACTTTGAATAAGGTGACCAGACGTCCCGATTTTTAACAATTTGTCTCGCGTCCCACGGCGTTTTAAAAAAGCCCTGATTTTTGGAAAGAATGCATGACAAGCTAGGGAACAGCGGAAGAATGGGAAGGGAATATATGGTTTTCGGCGGCCATGGGGCTATTTAGTCAGGATATGAGTTTTATATTAATTTTATAATGTTAAACTTTATTTTATATATATATATCTATTTTTTTGCACCAAACACATCGCATTTCTTTTTTTTTTAAAGCAAATAACGAAGACCCATTTTACCAGCTTTACTTTTTAAACCTAAGCTTAACATTACACATTTAAACAATTGTCAAAACTTACTAAGTCGCCAGCATTCATGCACAACTAGAAAACATCCTCAATTTATACTAAACCAGAAATGTATTACCATTGATTCATTAGTACCTTTCACTACTCAACACGGAAAGACTGAAACTGCTCTGGGGTGTGTCCTGGCAACGTGAGCTTCACAGCAGGCCACCCTGATGGCTCAGCTTAACCACCATGGAAAGCAGGTCCGTGCTGGTGTTAGTGTATGAAGTCACGGCTGCCCTCGATCATGTTTAATAAAAAGCAAAGTGCAGCCGAGACTGGTTTGGCTCAAGGGATGGAGCGTCGGCTTGGGGACTGAAGGGACCCGGGTTCGATTCCGGTCGGGGGCATGTACCTTGGTTGCGGGCATGTCCCCAGTCGGGGGTATGCAAGAGGCAACTGATCGATGGCTCTCTCATCGATGTTTCTAGCTCTCTATCTCTCTCACTTCCTCTCTGTACAAAATCAATAAAATATATTTAAAAAACAAAAACAAAAAAAACAGAGATTTACAACAATTGCAAAGACCAAAAAGAAAAGGTCCTATCATGTGGTCCCAACAATAACTCAACAGTCTGACAAACAGGCTCCGATGAGTATAAATACTTTAGGGACAGTTATACTGAAACTCGAGTTCATCTGAAATCTTCAAAAAAATGTTCCTGTTAGTCCTCAAATGGTGCTTGTCACAGTTAACATCTCTGTTACATGTGTGCGTTGAATTATTTGTTATCCAAGCGTAGCAGCTGCTCCTTACCATTTATCGTCAAGGACTTTAACTGGCCGTCTTCTTCAACTTCTACTCTTTCTTGACCATTCTCGACAATTCTCTTTGTAGTGATTTTTCTTCCGTTAACAATTTTGGTAGAAGTCGATACGGACTTGAAGTTGCCCATGCCACCACCACCAAATGACGAGGAAGAGAATGCAGTGAGACCCCCATGGCCTATTGACCCGAAGGAAGTAAATCCTGCATCAAAAGCTGGAAACCCTCCACCGAAGCCGGGAACCCCGTGCAGGCGGAGAAGAACGAGGTGGTTCCCCGGTTCCTGCTCCCACGCGGACCCCGCCGGGTTCCAAAGGAGTCATCCAATGGGTCTTCAAAGAAGTCGAATGAAAACGGGTTCCTTCCACCAAAAAATTCCCTGAACACGTCATCTGGGTTCCGGAATGTGCAGCCGAACTCGAACGGGTTGTCGAAGTGACTTCCACCTCCACCTCCACCTCCACCATTGAATCCTCCTTTGCCGCATCTGTCATAGACGTCCCGTTTTTTAGCATCAGAGGGCACCTCATACGCCTCAGCTACTTGTTTGAATTTCCTCTCCGCTTCTTCTTTATTCTCAGGATTTTTATCTGGGTGCCACTTCAATGCCAGTTTCCCATAGGCCTTTTTAATGTCCTCAGCGGAGGCCTGTCTCTGCACGCCTAGAACTTCACAGTAATCCACCATGTTTTCCAGGCTGTTGGAACGAGTCCTGCAGACACGGAGCCGACAGCGGGGCGGCGGGGCGGCAGCCTGGTCTCTTCGGCTTCTGAGCAGCAGCGCTGGTGACGGCGGCGGCCTTATAAGGTTAAACTTTAATAATAACAAATAATTGATGAGAACTGCTTATCAAAGTTCGCATTGTTGATCAGTTGTTAGAATTCGACCACCACTGTTTGGACTTAATGAACAATGGCATTTTTGGGGATTGGCCACGACGAGAACATTTTGTAACTGTCTCTCAGATGATACACATGGTACTGCATGCTAGTAAGCTAGTTAAACAAGTGATGTCATTACAAATCAGCTATTCAGATAACTTAGGTAAGTAATTTATGTATTTATTTCATAAATACATACATTTTCTTGAATTTAGCAGACAGTACTCATATTATTTATATTTTATAGTGGCGGCAAAAAGTCTAGCACCGGCCTTGAAAGTGACACTTACAACTATACATAATTTTTTAATGTGTTATATTTGTAAAATTGTACTTATGTTGAAATTTAAAAAATATATTACAACATTATTTTATGAAAATTTTTGTTGCTCCATATAGACCAAATTTTAAATAATGACACCCCCCCCCTCCACCCCATCAATGGTGTACCGCTTTACCAATGTTAAAATTTGGTCACCTTAACTTTGAAGGAAAACTGGAGAGAGTGGGAAGGGGAACAGTGGCCATACAGCCCCCAGGAGAGGAGACAGAGAATCAGGCTGCATATTTGCCTCCAGCGGACCCTGTCCAGAGATTCAAGGGTGGTGAGCTTGACCCCTTCGATGGCGATGAGCTCCACCGTCCATGGAGCCAAGGCCACCAGCCCTCGAGACCATTTGACGATTGCCTCCGGTCTGGCTCTTCCCCGGGCAATAAAACAATGCCCACAAAATTTCAAGGGAAAATGATTTTCAACCTAGAAACATGTGTCTGTTCATATGATTTCAAGGGTGAAGGCAGAATAAAGACATTTAAAGCCAGATGAGGTCTCAGAAATTTGATTTTGCATACACTTTTCCCTAGAAAGTTACTAAAGAGTGTACTTCAGAAAAACAGGGGTTAAACTAAGAAAGAGGACAGTATGGAATTTTAAGAGATGAGGCTAAGCCTTGGCTGGTGCTGCTCAGTGGTTAGAGTGGTTTAATTCCCAGTCAAGGGCATGTACCTGGGTTGCAAGTTCATCCCTGGCATGTGTGGGAGGCAACCAATCTATGTGTCTCTCTCACATCAATGTTTCTTTCTCTCTCTCTCTTACTCTCTCCCTCCCTCCTTTCCACCCTCTCTTTTTCTCTCTAAAAAAAGAAAAAGAAAAAGAAAAAGAAAAAGAAAGAAAGAAAGAAAAGAAAAGCAATGGAAAAAATATCCTTAGGTGAGGATTAACAAAAAAATAAAAATAAATAAATGAGACTAAACACAGAAGAAGAATGATGAGAAAGGCCTGGCATGTCAGCTGTGCTCCCAGGTAAAGCAAGCAGCCGGGCCAATGTGGCTCAGCTGGTTGGGCTTCATCCCATGTGTTGACCATTTGATTCCGGTCAAAGGAACAGGCCAAGTTGTGAGCTCAATCCTCAGGATAGCTGATAGATGTACTCTCACATCAATGTCTCCCTCTCTCCTCTCCTCCTCCTCTCTTTCTCTCTCTCAATCAATAAACTATTTAAAAAGGAAGAAAGAAAGCAACCCAGCCTGGAATCAAAAGGTAGATGTTCAACGAGGGATGTTTCCAGAAGAAAACAAAATGATCTGTTTTTAGAAATATTCAAAATAAATGTTCAGTTCTATTGGAAACATTGGGATGGAATTTACAATTGGTGCCTGGAAAGCCAAGCAAATGATAAAGTAATGAATAACTCCAGGGAACACAAAAAGTTGAACCATAACATTTACATGGTCATAACATAAGCTCCGCATATTGACTCCAGTGATTTGGCTCTTTTGGGAAAATGGAAGGAGGGAAAGTGTATGTTTATGTGTTTGGACGTGTGAGGGTGGGAGGAAAGTGAGGTTAATTCTAGAGCAAGAAACCCACAGATAACATGTAACCATAGAAAAATCAAGAAATAGCAATCGAAGCATAGAGGTAAATACAAGGAAAAATAACAGAATTTAATGTGGTTAGCTTGGGAATGGAGCATAGAAAAGTCTTCTATTACAAGCCTAAATGTGAGTTACCTCTAAAACGATTATAAATTATTTTGATAACAATAATTTTGTTAAACAAAGGTCATACTGTGGAGGTCAGGAGTACAACCTCCCAAGATGAATGAAACCGATTTCCTAATGTTCTGTGGATGTATTCTGGGGACTTGAGTTACCATTTTCAGTGGCAACGTCAAACTCAGAAAGCTGTGAATCTCGTGCATTTTAAGGGCAGGTGCCCTGCACCTCCAGCTAGTGCTTCTCCGCCTCTAACAGGCACCTGACTCTCCTGGGGTTGGATCCTGTTCACATACAAGTTCTGACTCAGGAGGTCTGGGGAGGGATTCTGCATTTCTGACAGGCTCCCAGGGAATGCTGATGCTGTTGGTCCTTGGCCACCCTTTGAGGAGCGAGGCTCTCCAAGACTTTGGAGTACAAGAGAGGGAGCTGGGGAGGTGGCGGGGAGGGGAGAATGGGCACGTGGGAAAGTGCCTCTTGTGCATCTAGGTGCCACGGAGGTTCCCATCAATGCTCACATGCACCATGGGGTGGGGGGGAAGGGGTACCTAGAGGGCAGTGAGCTCTCCTTAGCACTAGGACAGGAGATTAGGAGACACAAGGAGGCAGTAGATTTTGCTACTTTTCTATCTGTGCAGCCAAATACATAGCCTCTTTTCTTTTATTTATTTATTCATTCATTTATTTATTTTTATTTTTATTTTTAATATAATAAATCTTTATTAAGATTATTACAGGTGTTCCTCTTTCTCTCCCCCCCCATAGCTCCCCTCCTATTTATTTATTTTAAATATATTTTATTGATTTTTTACAGAGAGGAAGGGAGAGAGATAGAGAGCTAGAAACGTCAATGAGAGAGAAACATCGATCAGCTGCCTACCGGGGATGTGCCCACAACCAACGTACATGCCCTTGACCGGAATTGAACCTGGGACCTTTCAGACCACAGACCGACGCTCTACCACTGAGCCAGCCCGGTTTCGGCCTCCTTTCTTTTTTTTTAAATTTTTTTATTTTTTATATATATATATTTTATTGATTTTGTACAGAGAGGAAGGGAGAGAGATAGAGAGTTAGAAACATTGATGAGAGAGAGTCATCGATCAGCTGCCTCTTGCACACCCCCTACCGGGGATGCGCCCGCAACCAAGGTACATGCCCTTGACCGGAATCGAACCCGGGTCCCTTCAGTCCCCAAGCCGACGCTCTATCCATTGAGCCAAACTGGTCCCGGCCTCCTTTCTTTTCTTAATATTATTTTATTCCATCCATGTATGTGGGAGCAAGGAGATTGTGTCAAGCTGTTTTCTCCATCTTTCATTCACCTGATTAAGGTCAGGGTTCCTAGAACCACATAGTATCTCACTTTATCATCACTGCCCTGGGAAGAAAATATTATCATCCCAATTTTACAGATAAGGAAACTGAGGCTCAAAGAGGTGAAACTACTATTCAAGGATACCCGAACAAGGAAAAGGCAGAGACTGGATGTGACGTTAAATCAGTGTGGCTCCAAGTCATTTATCCTCTCTGCATTCCAGCCACCAGACCACACTGGCGGCAGGCAATTCTCAGCACATCACTTGAACCAAGACCCCTTTAGGCAGATGTCCCCACCCTTCTGGCTCCGTTGTGCTTGTAAAGTAGCCTTGCCCTGGTGAGGCTGCGAAAGATTCTCTCCCTGGCTCCTGGGGCTAGAGATCTGGCTGTGCAAGCATTTGTAACTGGAGGAAGGGCACTTAAGGGGAAGGGAACCACCATTGTTTAAAGATTATTCACCGACTAACCAAAGCTGAGAAGGTTTCTGACAGACCCTGGGGAACCGGAGGATGTGTTGCAAGAAGGAAAACAGGGCTGCACAAATAAGGTGGCCTTGAGGAAGCCCAGATGGGTCCATTATTCAGAAAAGAAAATACATTTTGAGAGCAAACCGAGGACAGCACATGCTTTCACTTGGCTGCTGGGCCGGGACCCTGGCTCACTCTGGGAGTTTGCCTCAGGAATGCTGACCATTTTCTGCTCCCAGAAACAGACTGAGCTCTATCCACCTTGTTTCGGGACTTCAAACCCCTAAGGGCAGACGCACAGACTGCAGACCCCAAAGCTCCCTGACCCTGCTGTCCTCCCAGCTGCACAGAGCTATTTCCCCTCGCCCCTATATAATCAACCAGCTGGTAGAAGGAAGGAGGGAGCAGTTTTTTATTTTCCAGGGTATGAAGCCCGCTGCTCATTCCGTATTGCTGGCAATATGAGATCAGTGCTCCTCAGTGGTTCCTCCCTGTCCCTGCTCATTGGCTCAGTAGTAACAGGCAGTAACGTCCTTGATTTGGGGGGGAGAGGGGGATAAATCCAGTTGCCATGGTAACCTATCAGCTGCTACCTCCAGAACCTGCTTCCAGGTTTGGTGGCTTTGCAGCCCCAGAGACCAGTGGCAAGGGCCAAAGCGGAGTAAGTGGGAACACAGCGGAGTGGGAGGGGATGAAGTCACGAAGGGGCATGAGAAGGTGCTGAGGCTCAGAGGGACGTAGAGGGGCCCTAACAGACAAGGCAGAGAGACAAGGGGCACAAAGAGGAAGGAGGGGTAAGAAGGGGTACACAGGACACAAGAGGCATGAATATCCTGCAAACCCCAGCAGCTAAGGGTACGGTGGGGAGGGGCCAGCATGCCCTGTCCTGCCAGTCCCTTTGTGGGGGCAGGTGTCCCGATTCATGGCCTGCCATCTCCTGTCCCACAAAGCCTGGCACTGTCGGGAAGAGTCAACTTCTCTTATGCTCTTCTTTTTATTTTTATTGATTTTTAGAGAATAAGGAAGAGGGATAGAGAGATAGGAAGATTGAGAGAGGGAGTCATTGATTGGCTGCCTCTTGCACACCCTCCACCGGGCATGTGCCCTGACGGGAATTAAACCAGCGACCTCTTGGTTCCTGGGTCGATGCTCAGCCACTGAGCCACACCAGCCAGACCCTCCAACTCTTCTTGTTTCTCTCTAACCTTGAATATATTATACAAATACTTTTTGATCACTGACTAGGAACCAGGCACTTTTCTAGGCCCTGAACTGCAGTGAACATTTGGGTGCAAAAGGCTTTCTTGACCCTAGCCAGTATGGCTCAGTGGATAGAGTGTCTGCCTGCAGACTAAAGGGTCACAGGTTCGATTCCAGTCAAGGGCATGTATAATACCTTGGTTGCAGGCTCAATCCCCGGCCCTGGTCAGGGGGTTTGTGGGAGGCAACCAATCGATGTCTCTCTCACATTGATGTTCCTCTCTCTGTCTCTCCTTCCCACTCTCTCTAAAAATCAATTAAAAAAATCCTTGAGTGAGGATTAGAAAAAAAAAAAAAAAAGGCTTTCTTGGAGGGTTGCTTACCTCCTGCTGCAGGTTAGGAGAGTTCTGACGTGAACATATAACAAATTAAACAGGATAATCTCAGTCATGTGGAGTGCCTTGAAGACAACACAATAAAAGAGGGTGAGAGCATAGAGTGTGGGTATAGAGGAGGGAGCTTATTCCATCAGAATGGACAGGGAAGGCCCTAGGAGGCAGGTGACACTGAAGGCAATCTGAATGATGAGGATGCAAATCTGAGTAAGGAGGTGAGAGAATGCGAAGACCCGTGGCTGGATGGGCTGGTGCATTGGAGGAACAGCTCAAAAGCCTGTGTTTGGTGGGGTGTGAGCCAGGGGGGTGAGCGTGGGGAGATGAGGTGGGAAAGGTGTGGGTGCAGAACCTTGTCATGAAGGGCCTTGCCCGGGAGCCCAGGAGGGACTTAAGCCAGGAGGAACTTGACAGGATTTGGCTGCTGTATGGTGACCACCTTGGAGGGGGTGAGTGCCGGAGACAGGAAAGTGGACAGATTGGGCTTTGTTTAGACCTGCCTCTCACTCTACAGGAGCCTGTCCCGGCCTTCCATTCCCAACCCCCACTCCCACCAAGCCTTGGGCTGTAGAACCATCCTTCTGCCTTTGACCCTGTCCTTCTGTTTCTGACCTGGTTGCACATCAGGGAGCATTGGCTTTGTGCACCTACCTTCCTTGAGTTTTTCTAAGTGCCGCCCTGGCGTCTGGGACCTTGGCAGTGCCGTCCGGGCAGAGCACTCCAAGGTGGGTCCTGTCCAGGTTACTCCCTTTTGGCCTGGGGTAGGTGGTTAGTCAGACACACGATCAGAGCTCAGAGCGAGGCTGAAGGGCCAGGCACAGGTTACCAGGGGGGACGCCCTGAGGGCCTAGCAAAAGATAATTGTAGTGTGGGTCCTTGTCATCAGGGTGACTTTGTCTCCTTACAGATAACATCTAGGCTTCAGTTGTATTTCAGCTTCAGACCCAGAAAAGGAGCAAAGCCAGAAAATCAAGGCCATACCAGAAGATTCCTGGCCACCTCAGAACCAGCTGCATTTAATAAAGAATGACCCCCTGCCCAAACAGCCAATCAATCAGTGGAGACCCGGACCCTGAAAGGACACACTTGGGAAGCAGATCTTCCCCTGGGACCTCCCCTCCAATCTCCACCCTTAAAACTCTTAGGACTGCCGAAACCGGTTTGGCTCAGTGGATAGAGCGTCGGCCCTGCGGACTGAAAGGTCCCAGGTTCGATTCCGGGCAAGGGCATGTACATTGGTTGCGGGCACATCCCCAGTAAGGAGTGTGCAGGAGGCAGCTGATTGATGCTTCTCTCTCATCGATGTTTCTAACTCTCTATCCCTCTCCCTTCCTCTCTGTAAAAAAATCCATAAAATAAAATAAAAATAAAAACCTCTTAGAGATACTCATTAAAACAAACAAACAAACAAACAAACAAACTCTTAGGTCTGAGGACCCAGTGCGTGTTCCCCTCCTCACCCCTCCAAGCCACGCCCCTTTGCCTTCCTCACTTCTTAGCCCCAAGAACTTATTTCCTAAGCCCATTTCTTCTACGAATTACTTCTCCTACCTCTGTGATTTTCCAAATAAGTGTTCTCTCACAGCTTGAGTCTTGGCTCTGAATTCTTTCCTAGCCAGAACTCAAGTACCGAGTGAACCCAAGTCCAGTTGGACCCCACAAGTCTAGCACCTGGTGATGTTCGGCTGTCCCCCCAGCGCACCTACCCGCGCGGGTGGGGTGGGCCGGCCGCCTGGGGACTCCAGGGCTCCCGTGTGTGAAGGAGACTGGGCTGGTGGTGTCCGCCCTCAGTCCCAGGAGTGCAGGACCGTGTTTCCCTCCAGAGATCCTGCAGACAGAGCCACCAGATAGGCCCTGAGACGCTGCTGCCTTTGGGGACTCCGATGGCTCATCTAGATAATGGCCCTGCCGAGAACTATTTGCTCAGGGCGCTTCGTCCTCCGTTAGATGCCCGGCCGCCACCTCCGGGCTCCCCTGCCCCGGGGGAGGACGGTCCCTCTCTGCCGGCTCCTTGCCAAAGCAAAGCCTCGGCCCGAGGCGCACCGCGGCTGCATTTCCTTCCTTTTTTTTTTTTTTTTTTTGGTATTTATTTATTTATTTATTTTACATATTTTATTGATTTTTCCCCCCTCCCTCCCTCCCACACATCCCTGCATTTCCTTCCTTCTGGGAAGGCGACCCTGGGATGGGCGAGTCCATAGGGTCTTCGAGGGGGTTGGGGGGGATGAGCAGGGTCCTGCACTCTGGAATCCAAGGATGGGCGTATTCCTGCGGCCGGAGACCCGAGGCTGCGGGCCGGGGGAGGAGAACGGAGGCTGCGGGCCGCGGGCTGCGAGAAAGGGGCGCGGGCAGGCGCCCAGCAAGCCCGGACCCATCCATCGCGGGCCCGGCCCCGCGGGTATCGGCTCGGGCTCCTCTCCCAGGATTATGTAACCCCAGAACGTGGCAGCAGCCGGGCAAGCACGGGAGGCGGCGAAGAGATGGAAGGGCGGGCGGGGAGGCGGGGTCAGGGTGGGAGGTGGAGGGTGGGGGGTTGGTGGTGCCGGGAGGCGCCGCCTCCGGCTGGGCCCCTCGGGCTGTCCATCAGGAGGATTCCTAGAGGGCCAGCCCTCCTCCATCCCATCCCCCACCCCGACTCAGTCTCAGTTTCCCCTCACGCTTCCCTGGGTCCCCTCGCCCTGGCCAGCGGCCCCTGGCTCTAGACCGGTTCCCCTCTTGGGTTGCAGTTTCCTCCTCCTCCTCCGGAGCTGTGCAGTCGTGGCCGAGGCGGCGGCCGCCGTGCGCCTCGGTTGGCCAGTTTGGAGAAGGAGGTCGGAGTGAGGGGCCACGTGCAGAGCATCGGGCATGGCGCGTGGCCCTGAGTCGGTGCCCACTGCGGGGCAGGAGCCTCGAGGATGCCCAGGGGCTTTGCAGACGGCGCGGGCAGCGCAGGAGGGAGGCCGCATGGGCGGGCACGGTCTGCGAGTGCCGAGGCGTCCAGCTGCCCGTCGGGGGTCCGCCCCGCACGCTCCGCCCCGCCCTCCCTCCCTCCCTCCCTCCCGCTTCCTCTCCCCCTCCTCCTCTCGGGGTCCCGGGCCAGCCAGCGGGCGGTGGGCGGACCCTCCGGAGGCCCCGGGGGCGTTGGCGGCGGCAGGAAGGGGCGGGGGGCTCCGGAGCCGCGGGCAGGAAAGGACCAGCCCACCGGCCGCCGACAGCCGCGGTCCGGAGCCTCCGCGCCTCTGGCCTCCGCCATGTGGGGTCTCCTGCTCACCTTGGCCACCGTCGCGCCTGCCGTCCGCCAGGGTCAGGGGGCGCCCGGTGCCTCCGAGCTGGGCCTCGGGCCACCCAGGACCACCGAGGCCCCGGTCTCCCCCTCCGCCCTGCCCGGCAGCCCGGCACCGCCGCCCGCGGGGAAGAAGAACGGCGGCTCCCCCGCGGGGCCCGCCTCTCCCACAGGTCGGTGCCCCCACCCCCCACCCCCTCCTCCGTGTGACGACCCTTCCCCAGCGCAGACACACACACACACACAGACACAGACACACACACACACACACACACACTCACACACACACACACACACACATAGACACACACACTCACACACACACACTCACAGACACACACACACTCACACACACACAGACACACACACAGACACACACACACACGCACACACACTCACACACACACACACTCACAGACACACACACACACACACAGACACACACACTCACACACACAGACACACACACACACACGCACACACACTCACACACACACACACACTCACACACACTCACACACACACACACTCACAGACACACACACACACAGACTCTCACACTCACACACACACACACACTTTCCCACCCGTGCAGGAGGTGCTGACTCAGCAGCCCCAGTTCCCGGCCAGACCCAGTCAGCAGTCCCGGGACAGGAGCCAGTGGGATGCTGCCTCTTGCAGCCCCAGACCTTCCCCCTCACAGATAAGGTCACTGAGACCAGAGTCAGGAGGAGGGGAGAAAGCAGCGCAGACAAAGGCTCTGACACCGAAAGGGTCAGAGCAAGACTGTGTGTGTGCGCGAGAGAGGGTTGGGGGGCAGGAGCTGGAAGGAAGGAACAAGAGACGGAGAGGGCGAGGGCGAGAACTCGACTGAGGCTGTCCAGAGGAACGGGGCATTGTCCCGGCAGAGGCAGGCTGCCGGACTTCCAACTGTGGGAGCACATCGCGGAAACTGGTTTAGCTCAGTGGATAGAGCGTCGGTCTGTGGACTGGAAGGTCCCAGGTTCGATTCCGGTCAAGGGCATGTGGTCAAGGGCATGTACGTTGGTTGCGGGCACATCCCTGGTAGGGGGTATGCAGGCAGCTGGTCGATGTTTCTCTCTCATCAACATTTCTGGCTCTCTATCCCTCTCCCTTCCTCTTTGTGGAAAATCAATAAAATAAAAAATGTGGGAGCACAGAAGGGAAAAGCAAGGGGATGGCAGTCAAGGAGGTTTTCTCAGAGGAGGCATGTAGCGTTAGGTCCTTGCTCACAAAAAGCGGGCATCTCTGAATTGGGATTTGCTGAAGGGGAGGGCAGCCAAGACTGTGCAGAGGCACAGGGCACCGGACATGAAAATGGACAGCGTGTCCTGGAGGTGCCTGTGGAGCTTGCATGCGTGGGGCGCTGGTGGCGCCTGCCCCGGAAGGCCCTGTGCTGAAGGGCGAGCAGACACAGGTCCAGCCCTGGGGGGCCTGAGCACCCGGCAGGCATGGCGCTGAGGACAAACCATCGCAGCCCAGAGGGCAGTTGCCGCGAGGGAGGTGGCGCAAGGGCTTTTGGAGACTGAGTCTGGAGCTAAGGAGGGCCCCTCGAAGGGCATCTGAGATGTGAAGGAAGGATGGGAAGTAGGCAATCAAATCAGAGGTGGTGTGGAAACCGGTTTGGCTCAGTGGGTAGTGCATCGGCCTCCGGATTGAAGGGTCCCGGGTTTGATTCCGGGCCAGGGTATGTACCTTGGTTGTGGGCACATCCCCAACAGGGGGTGTGCAAGAGGCAGCTGGTTGATGATTCTCTCTCATTGATGTTTCTAACTATCCCTCTTTCTTCCTCTCTATAAAAAATCAATAATTTATATATATATATATATATATAGTGGTGGTGGGTGGTGTGCTGGGGATGGGACAGCCAGTGCAACGGTCTAGCGGTAAAGAGCCACACTCGGCTCCCTGGAACGGCCAAAGAGCTCCTAGTGGCCGGGTGTAGCTCTGCGTTGGAGGGGGTCAGAGGCGGCCGGCCAAGCCTGTAGTCACGTCGGGAAGGAGAAGGAGCCAAGGAAGCGGCTGGAGAGGCAGGTTGGGATCAGACCGCGCCGGCCTGTACGTCCATGCTCAGCTCCGTAAGTGCTTGCGGTGGAACCTGCTGTGGCACGCAGGCCTTCTTGGGATGCAGACCTCTCCGTCTGGAGCTTCATGCCATTCTTCCTTCCCGGTGCTGTTCTCCTCGGTCCCCAGGGACCTCACAGCAGCGTGTCCGCGTCCGTGTCATCAAGAAGAAGAAGGTCATTGTGAAGAGACGGAAGAAGTTAACTAGCCCCGGCCCCCTGGTGACCGCCAGGCCCCCGGTGACCACTAGCCCTGCAGGGACCATGGATCTTCCTGAGGCGCGGGAACCAGGTACTGCCCCTCCGGGGACCCTGCCCAGCTCTGCAGCCCCTGGGGCACAGAGGCACTAACGTAACTCCGCCCCAGGAACATAGGCGTGCCCCTCGCTGGGCCAGCTTAGACTCAGCTTCTCTCTCTTGTCCTGAGACACTGCTCTGCCCCTGCCCCCAGGCTGTCCACCCTTGGGCTTGGAGTCCCTTCGAGTGTCAGATAACCAGCTTGAGGCATCCAGCAGCCAGTCTGTGGGCCTTGGACCACACCGAGGACGGCTCAATATCCAGGTCAGCCCCTTGCTCAGTACAAGGCAACCCCGGGAACCTCCTTTCCTGCCCTCCCCTCCCCTTCCATTCTGGTCCGCCCTACCCCGCCCCCCTGGGTGTGATCGTCATGTCCTATGCCCACAGTCAGGCCTAGAGGACGGTGACCTGTACGACGGGGCCTGGTGTGCCGAGGAGCAGGATGCTGAGCCGTGGCTGCAGGTGGATGCCAGGCACCCTGTCCGCTTCTCAGGCATTATCACCCAGGGCAGGAACTCCATCTGGAGGTGAGGTGGGCTGCTCCCAGGCCGGGAACTCACGAGCAGACCCAGGAGGGCTGGCTGGGTGGGAGTCCTGGGGGCCACCGATGATCTCGCCCCACCCCTCCTGCCAGGTACGACTGGGTCACCTCCTACAAGGTCCAGTTCAGCAACGACAGCCGGACCTGGTGGGGGAGCAGGAACCACAGCAGCGGGATGGATGCGGTGTGTGGTGCCATGTGGTGTGGGCCCTCTGTGCTGAGAGTTGGGCACCCGGCCCATTGGAGGGTGCTGGGCTGGCCTGGGGACAAGGAACAGATTCCCACTTGGGCATTCAGGAAAAGGGGGTTCAGGATGAGTGACGGCAAGCAGGCAATCTCAGGAGCCAGGCTGCTTTGGAACATGCCCGTATTTCCTTCCCCCCACCCCAATACTTCTTCCATGGGGAGGGGGGGGTGCCACTTCATGCCATGGCTTCTTCCTGCTGGAACACCCCTTGTGGCAATGGCTCTCGCCTCCCCATCTCATGACCCTTTTATACATCGGGCTGTTGTGTGGGGTCCTGGCTGGTTTTAGGTTTGGCTGCTTCCCGAGTCCTGTTGGCCATATTTGTCTAAGGAGCTGAGAGCCAGCCAGAAGGCATGGCTGCCTAGGGCTGCCCTTCGGCAGGATGCCAAGCGCACATTTCTACCCGAGTCCACCAGGGTGGGTTTGATGGGGAGTTTGGGTCCCGGGCCGGGTTGCTGGGGTTCGAGCAGCCCCACCGAAGTACTTGACACTCCCAGGTGTTTCCTGCCAATTCGGACCAGGAGTCGCCGGTGCTGAACCTCCTGCCCGAGCCCCAGGTGGCCCGCTTTATCCGCCTGCTGCCCCGGAGCTGGCTCCAGGGCGGCGCGTCCTGCCTCCGGGCTGAGATCCTGGCCTGCCCGGTTCCAGGTGGGCCGTCGAACAGGGGCTGGGTGGGCAGGATGCGTCCTTCGCTGTGAACTTCCCTTTGAGCATGAACTTGGCCTTCAGCAGATCCCAGTGAGCCATTCCCTGAGACCCCTGCACTGGCATCGTCCGATCCTCTGGATTTCCGGCATCACAATTACAAGGCCATGAGGAAGGTCAGACTTAACCCCGATGACCGAGAGGGCGGAGCTGCCTGCCTCAGGCCCCCTTCTCCCCAGAGCATAACCTGCTATGACTACCTTCCTGTCTCCTCCCCAACCCTCGCTGCCTCACCTTTCTTTCCCGTTGACTCCTACACTCTGCTCCAGTCTCCCTTGTTACCGCACTTTCCCGGTCTGAGCCTCGGCTCACTTGTGCTGCTCCCCGCCTGTCCTGGGCCATGGTGTCCCCATGTGTGTGGGCCTCCTCTGACTTTTTTTAAGTTCTCCCATGGCCACGTGGGGTCTGACCCCTGGGTCTCACATATCCCCCTCTGCCCCCCCACCCCCCCCCCCCGGCCAGCTGATGAAGCAGGTGAACGAGCAATGCCCCAACATCACCCGCGTCTACAGCATCGGGAAGAGCTACCAGGGCCTGAAGCTGTATGTGATGGAGATGTCGGACCATCCCGGGGAGCACGAGCTGGGTAATGGCAGGGGGGGTGGTGGGAGAGGCAGGCACCAGTCGGCGCTGGGCACCAGCCAGCCGTGAGCCCTGTGCGTTCCCAGGGGAGCCCGAGGTGCGGTACGTGGCCGGTATGCACGGGAACGAGGCCCTGGGGCGGGAGCTGCTCCTGCTCCTGATGCAGTTCCTGTGCCACGAGTTCCTGCGGGGGAACCCGCGGGTGACCCGGCTGCTCACGGAGACGCGCATCCACCTGCTGCCCTCCATGAACCCTGACGGCTACGAGACTGCCTTCCGCCGGGTGAGCCGCCTGCGCCGAGGGCCACGCGGCTCCCTCTCCCCGGGTGCTTGGAGCCTGCGTGGCTGACCGAGCCCCCATTCCTGCAGGGTTCGGAGCTGGTGGGCTGGGCAGAGGGCCGCTGGACCCAGCAGGGCATCGACCTTAACCATAATTTTGCTGACCTCAACACACCGCTGTGGGAAGCAGAGGACGACGGGTTGATGCCCGACACTGTCCCCAACCACCACCTGCCCATGCCCGCGTATTACACCCTGCCCAATGCCACTGTGAGTGTCCTGGGGGCAGTGGAGGAGGGCCACCCCCCTGGGGACCCTTGTCTCCGACTCCCACCCGTCCTGACCTGCCCCTGTCCAGGTGGCTCCTGAGACTCGGGCCGTGATCGAGTGGATGGAGCGGATCCCCTTCGTGCTGAGTGCCAACCTCCACGGGGGCGAGCTGGTGGTGTCCTACCCGTTCGACATGACCCGGACCCCGTGGGCCGCCCGCGAACTCACCCCGACCCCGGACGATCCCGTGTTTCGCTGGCTCAGCACCGTCTATGCTGGCACTAACTGGGCCATGCAGGACCCGGATCGCCGACCGTGCCACAACCAGGACTTCTCCTTACATGGCAACATCATCAACGGGGCTGACTGGCACACGGTCCCTGGGAGTATGTGCCCGAGGGTGAACTTACCTCTGCCCCCATACCCCTGCCCGGGTCAGAATCCGCTGTCTGTCACGTCCCCCGGGGGAGTGTCGCTCGGAGGAGGGAACCAGGAGGGCAGGCTCCCAGCCGCCGTGGGCTCCAGTGTCTGTGGTTCCTCTAGGCATGAATGACTTCAGCTACCTCCACACCAACTGCTTCGAGGTCACGGTGGAACTGTCGTGCGACAAGTTCCCTCACGAGAACGAGCTGCCCCAGGAGTGGGAGAACAACAAGGAGGCCCTCCTCACCTACCTGGAGCAGGTGGGCCCCGAATCCCCGCCCCCAGGCGGCCCGTCACCCCCGACTGACCTGCACCCATCCAAGGTCCCACCGCCCGCGTTCTGACTCACAAGATGCCGCGGGTCGTCACGTTGGCGCGGAGGGCTATAGGACAGGAAGCACGGAGTGCCAGCACGGCGGCGTCAGGCATGCCTGCCTGGGGGGGTAGAGCCCGCAGCAGACGGAGCTGTTCTCAGAAATGACTCACCTTGGGCAAGTGCAGGAAGTGCCGCGGCGCAGACGCTTCAGATTCCGCAGGCACTCGCGTCCCTTGCAATGACTCCGAGGGTTCCAAACCGACAAGTTCATGGCCAGGGTCACTGAATGTGGGGAAGCCCTGTGATGCTCCTTCCTACCAGGGAGTGATAGTTCTCCCAGTCCTGGTGTAATTTTTAAATTATTTTTTAAAAAACATTTTATTGATTTTTTTCACAGAGAGGGAGAGGAATAGAGAGCTAGAAACATTGATGAGAGAGAATCATCCACCAGCCGCCTCCTGCACACCCCCTACTGGGGATGTGCCCACAACCAAGGTACATGCCCTTGACCGGAATCGAACCCCGGACCTTTCAGTCTGCAGGCTGACGCTCTATCCACTGAGCCAAACTGGTTTTGGCAGTCCTGGTGTGATTTATCAAAAGGAGATACTTCTATCAGAGCCTGTCACATACTAGCTTTATCAAGTTTGCAAGGAAACAGCCAGAAAATGCACTGAAGGTCATGGTCTCGCGCAGGAGGGAAAGTGTCTGATGAGCTTTCCCCACACAGGTGCGCATGGGCATTGCGGGATTTGTGCGGGACAAGGACACGGAGCTGGGGATCGCTGATGCTGTCATCGCCGTGGACGGGATTAACCACGATGTGACAACGGGTGTGTGTGGCGGGGAGGTGGTGGTGGAGGTGTTGTGGGGAGGGCTGTAGGCTGGGCCAGAGGCTGAGGATCACTGAACCCGGATCTTGCTTTTCCCTCCTCGCAGCGTGGGGCGGAGATTACTGGCGCCTGCTGACCCCGGGGGACTATATGGTGACGGCCAGTGCTGAAGGCTACCACTCCGTGACCCGGAGCTGCCGGGTCACCTTCGAAGAGGGCCCTGTCCCCTGCAATTTCCACCTGACCAAGACCCCCAAACAGAGACTGCGAGAGCTGCTGGCAGCCGGGGCGAAGGTGCCCCCAGACCTCCGGAGGCGCCTGGAGAGGCTGAGGAGGCGGAAGGATTAGCACTGCGGCCCGCTGCAGAGCCCTGGGCAGGCTGGCCCTGTCCGGAACTGAAGGAGGGGGACAGAGAGTGGGGAGGGAGGGACAAAGTGGGGCAAGGTGCTAGGGCTCATTAAAGCCATTGGCCCCTCAGCCACTCTTTCTGTGAACTCTGTGTCCCAGATCCTCTGCCTGGGCCAGGCCTCAGCGCCCTGTCTTACCCCATCCCACACCTGCAAACTCTCATCAGTTGATTTCTGGGAAAATAGAGTGAAAAAAGGACCCCCCCTGGGGTTCTTTTTAAAAAACATATTTTATTGATTTTTCACAGAGAGGAAGGGAGAGGGACAGAGAGCTAGAAACATCAATGAGAGAGAAACATCGACCAGCTGCCTCCTGCACAACTCCTACTGGGGATGTGCCCACAACAAAGATACATGCCCTTGACTGGAATTGAACCTGGGACCCTTCAGTCCCCGGGCCAATGCTCTAGCCACTGAGCTAAACCAGTTAGGGCTGAGTTCCTTCTTTTAAGCTTAGGGTTTGGCAGACCAACTCATCAACCCATCAACTTCTGCAGCTGGTGTCACACAGAGCTGTTGAATATTCTGGAAGCACCTGCTCAGTGCCAAGTATGCAAGCAGTCCAGGATAAACGGTTCCCCCAACCCCCAGACTGGGACTCCCAGTCAAGGATGGGACAGTTCAGTACAGTGTGAGGTGTGCCAAGCGAGAGGCTGGTAGCTGTGGGAGCACAGATGGGAATCACATACACGTGAAAAAAACGCTGCAGATCCATTGGGACTCAAGCAGGCAAGGTTACGATAAAGGTGATGGTCCTGCCGAAAACGGTTTGGCTCAATGGATAGAGCATTGGCCTGCGGACTGAAAGGTCCTAGGTTTGATTTCAGTCAAGGGCATGTACCTTGGTTGCAGGCACATCCCCAGTAGGGGGTGTGCAAGAGGTAGCTAACAGATGATTCTTTCTCATCGATGTTTCTAACTCTCTATCCCTCTCCCTCTCTGTAAAATATCAATAATATATATATATATATATGTATTAAAGGTGATGGTCCTAGGGGTGTAGACAGAAGGTAGGCCAAGTGTGGAGGTATGGATAGGCACACCTCTAAGAAGGACACGACCAAAGACAGAGCATTTGGATCTCCGTCACCAGCCATTTTTGGGAAGTGGTGGTACAAGTGGTAGGATTTGATTAATTTCAGACTGAGGGGAAAGTTGTGTGTCAGCCTGTGTTTGGCCAGGAAAACAGCCCACTCTAGGTGTTAGAAGCAGAGGGAAATGTAGTGCTGGAAATTGGATATCAAGGTGTTGGAAGCATTGGAGGGGGGCGGGGGAGGGAGGGAAGGGGAAGGGGATTTTCCCTAGAATCCAGGAAGCTGAGGACACACATGCTCTGGCACCTAGAAGCCTGTGTTTGCTGATGTTGGTGCTCTGACACACAATGACCTGGGGCCACCTGTGATCACTGGGCTCAGCTGCCATGGCTACAGCTACTCGCAGAATAAGTTCTTCCTCCCGCTTTCTCATCTCCAACCTCGGAAGTCCACTGGCAACTGTAACTGTGACCGAGCTTACAAGGAGGCCCCCAAAATGTATTTTCCAGGCGCCCTGCACCCCTGCCATTTCGAGGTGAGCAAATACTACCCTGTTTCCCCGAAAATAAGACAGTATCATATTAATTTTTGTTCCCAAAGATGCGCTAGATCTTATTTTCGGGGATGTCTTATTTTCGGGGAAACATGGGTAACAGGTAACATGGTGCTAAGACAGCTATGCAGCCTTTTGTTATGTAAGCTCTGCCCAGGGCCAGGCTGTTGTACTGTTTCTGTCTCTTGAGGTCTCTCTGTCTCTGCCTCTCATATTTTCAATCTGAGATCACCATAGGGTTATAGTGCCACCTCTCGCTGCTCCCTGTTCCTCCCCCACCACAGCCCCACCTCCCTTCACCTCCAACTCCTATACAGCATCAACTAAAAAAAAAAAAAAAAATGTTTTTATTCATCGGAGTTTAATATACATAATGAAAATACACATAAGTGCACAGCTTATTGGCAGAATGGATTAAAAGACTCGGCCTGACTGTATATTGCAGTAAGCTCACTTCAAATGTAAACGTCTAAAGACATCTGAAAGGAAGAGAAGGAAAAAAGATGCGTCGTGCAGACAATCAGAGGAAAGCGGGGGTGATTATCTTACTATCGGATAAAGTTGACTTCAGGACAAAGACAATTACCAGAGAGGGAGAGGGATGTCGTTATATAATAACTGAACACGCCCAGGACCGTCCCTTGGGTAGCGTGGAATCAGCTGGTTCAGCACAACTGACATGGCATGCGAACTCCCCCAGCCGAGGTTCACTTCGGATATTCCCCGTTTCTAGCAGGACAAGTCCCTGGCCTGAAACCTCCCTCAGTTGCCGAGCTGCCAAGAGGTTCCCAGGTCCCTCCTACTCCCTCATAAACATGTGCTGTTAATGGGAATGGGGCCCTCCTCCTGGAGCTCCTGAAACAGTGAGATCAGCCCTGACTGGCTAAGCAACCCACTTTTTGGGTAAAGGGACTTTGGGGCAATATATGCATTTTCCCAACACTTTGCCTGAGAGTTTCCCTCAAATACAACTCCGAACAATTGTGTCCGTACCAGCTGTCATGAGAGGTGTTTGCTTTTGCTGTCCACTTCACATACAGATACGATGAAGAACACTTCGGCATAATCTAGTAAAACCGAAGGCACATGAGGCTCTTTGGCCCCTTGAATGTGGCTCTTCCACAAAATACCACGGCCTGGGCGAGTCTATTTTGGAGAACTGGCCTTAGAAGAAGTTTAAGTTTAAAAAATGTGGCTCTCAAAAGAAATTTCAGTCGTTATACTGTTGATATTTGGCTCTGTGGACTAATGAGTTTGCCAACTACTAAGCTAGGGCTAAAATCCAGTTTTTGATGTACATTTCAGGGAGTCACATGTATAGATTCATAGGCGCAGACATGAATTCCCTTGTGCTGTTCCTTTGTATTCGGATTCCCCTCCCATTCCAACTCTAGGCAAACACGAATCACTTGTCTGTTCCTATATGTTTGCATTAATTCAATGTACTCTTAGCAAGATAAACTCAAATAAATCTATATCTAGATGTAGAATTAAATTGTCAAAAGCCAAAGACAGAGAGAACCCCGACAGCAAGTGAAGTGACAAGTCATATACAAGAGACAAAGCAGAGTTCTTTTGTCCACTAGAAAAATTGGGTAGTTTGCTTTTTGATTTTTGAGTTTTGAGAGTTGGATAGATGTCCTTTGTCTGATATGTGATTTGCAAATACTTTCTCCCAATCAGGGGCTTGTCTTTTTATTCCCTTAAATAGTGTTCTTTGCAGAGCAGAAGTTTTAAATTTTTATAAAGTTCAGTTTGTTATTTTTTATTTTGTAGATATTTTTGTGTCCTATTTGAGAAATCTTTGATTAACCATGAGTCACTGTACAGGGGGTGCTCTTCCTCATTCTTTCTGCACACAGATTTGTGTAAGTGACAATTTGACATTTATTTGTGAGCCCGTGGCCCTAACCGGTTTGGCTCAATGGATAGAGCATCGGCCTGCAGACTGAGGGGTCCCAGGATTGATTGGGACTCCTCCACTGGCTTCTTAGAACTATGAAGATTTTTCCTATCTTCTCCTCTGAGAATTTTACATATTACATTTAGATTTATAATCTCTTTTGAATTAGTGTTTATATATGTGAGATGTAAGTCAAGGTTTCTTGTTTTTGCATACGAAGGCCCAATTTTCCCAACACCTTTTATTGAAAAACTGTTCTTTCTCCATTGGAATGCCATTCCTGTGGGTTTATTTCTGGAATTTATAGTTTGTTGCATTGGATGTATCTATCCTTTCACCAATACCACGACTGTAGCTTTATGACACATCGTAAAGTTGGCTAGTATACGTGCAAAAGAATGAAATTGGACTCTTATACAAAAATTAGCTCAAAAACAGGTGAGGCCAGCCATTGTGGCTCAGTTGGTTGAGCGTCATCCCATGCACCAAAAGGTCACTAGTTTGATTCCCAGTCAGGGCACATTCCTGAGTTGCAGGCTTGATCCTCAGTATAGGGCCTGCAGGAGGCAGCCAATCCATGGTTCTCTCTCATTGATGTTTCTCTCTCTTCCTCTCCCTTCCTTTCTCTCTCTAAACAAACAAACAAACAAACACAAAAGAAATCAATGAAAACATATTTTTTAAATAGTCAAAACTTAAGAGGATCCCTATTTTCTTCTAGGAATTTTTTAGTTTTTGATAACTTCATGGATATAACCTCAAAAGCACAAGTAACAACAACAACAAAAAAGATACATTGGACTTTATCAAAATTAAAAACTTTTGTGCATCACAGAATACATAAGAGTGAAAATACTATAGGAGAGTGTAAAGGGAATACACAGAATGAGAGAAAATATTTATAAAAATTTAACTATTTAAAGTATATAAAAACATCTACAACTCAACAACAACAAAACAAACCAATTCAAAAATGGGCAAAAGACTTGAACACATTTCTTCAAAGAAGATATACAAATGGCCAGTAAGTACACAGGAAGATGCTCAACATCATTAATCATTTGCAAAAAGCACATCAAAACCACAATGAGTTAGCATTTCACATCCGTTAGGATGGCTATCATCAATAAAGTGGAAAATAAGTGTTGGCAATAAAGTGGAGAAATTGGAACCCTTGCATGTTGCTAGTGAGAGTGTGAAATGTTACATGTGCTGTTGAAAAGATTTTAGTGATTCTTCAAAAAGTTAGATATAGAATTAACAAATGACCCAGCAATTTCACCCCTAGGTATATACACTAAAAATTGTAAGCAGGAATTCAAACAGATACTTGTATACCAGTGTTCATAGAAGTATTATTCACAATAGCCAAATTTATATTTAATGCAATACTAGAAGCCCCAGCAAGTCAATAAGGCAGGAAAAGGAAATAAAAGGCTTAATATTGTAAAGGAATAAATAAAACAAACTATCCCTATTCACAGATGACATAATCATCTATGCAGAAAAATCCTACAGATCCATTTTTTAAAAAGTGTCTAGAACTAATAAGCAAATTTAGCAAGGT